CCCCAACATCCCTCCTCCCACCGGCACCAGCACCGGTGGTATCCCCCGGAGCATGACCACCCCCAACACCAACACCCTCTCTGACACCGGCAAAACCCGCTACACCTCATCAACAACAGCAAAAACAGCCAAGTTCTACTCCCTCAGCGCCGTAGACATGGTTTCAAGAAGTCGCACCCAAAAGACCAGAGAGATCAATGCTATCACGGCCTTCTGCCATAGTAACAATATCGAGATGGCGGTGAAGTACGCGGTCAATCGCGAGTATTGGGAGTGTGTAGATGGTGGGTTGAGACCTGTTTGGCCGCAGATGGTTGCTGGTGGTGGTGATGGTGGTGGTAGGATCTGATCTGATGTATCTTTGCAGATGGTTTCGCAAATGGTCTCGGTATTAGTCTCGCAGGAGCCGGCTGTAGAAGGAATCCGCGGCTGGACCAGATGCTGCTGAGGTTTGAGTGGTGCCTAAATGTAGGATTACGCGTCGTGGGTTAGACTTAAAAGATTAGAAAGGTAGAAACAGCTTAAAGCTGGGAGTCCGAAGCGAGGTACCGAGTGGGAAACACGAAAAATTGGGGATTCAAAAAAATAGAGTGGTTCACACTTACAAAATTCGGACTCGAGCATTAATAATAGATTGCGGACCACAAGGTCACATCTTTGGCGTGCATGTAACTGGTACAATATATGTAGAGAAAAAGGATTAAGTACTTACCTCAGGTATCCACCTAAGATTTATGTTTCCTATGTACCCTACACAGTCGTCAAGTTGCAAATCAAGAAGGACTTATTTACACCAGTCTATACAGAGCTTTCTCGATGAGATGCTACATAGGTACATCTACACACTTCATTTCGTTTCATTTCATCTCCTTTCATTTGTGGAGTTACCTTGAACAGCGTCATTGAACAGCGTTCAGAGTTTTCGCAATCAGACAGACATTCGGAAAGCCGATTATGTAGGTACCTAGGTAATTGTGTGGGAGCACAAGGTAGGGTAAATAAATCTTAATGACATGTTGGTTCGGTTTTGATCTTGGGAAGATCAGGAAACAGCATCACGAAACAGCAGACGCGACAAAGACGAGAAAAGAGGAAACAAATTACGATCCAATCGTTGAGCCTCA